ACCTATTTGAAGTCAATGAAGTAATTTGTAATAAAAAAAAATCAATATCATTTACCTTAGAAAAAACTACTTAAATATGTACAGTTAAAATCAGGATTTTCATTTATAGGCACATGTCAATGCAGTAATTTTTACTACTTAATTAACGTTTGTAAAGTCACTTTACATGCATACAAATGATGCAATAAAAAACAAGTACATTCAGGACTAGAAACAAACAAGTATTGACAAATAAATACAGAAAATTTGAATCTGCACTGCTAAAATATGTCAATGCGGGACATTTGCAATTTTTGATATGACATTTGTGCTTTTTTTAATGGACATTTGCGCTTTTTAAAAAAAGAACATTTACACTTTTTCAATAGGCGCAAATGTCCTTTCGTGTTGCAGGTAAAACATCCTGCGCTAAAACATGTACAGTCAATTGGGTAATATTTGAACCATGAAATTTATGAAACACTAATAATCATAATAACATCTTAAGCATGGTTATAGAATTTTGGTTTGTAAGAGTATGAAATTATCATCAGTTAATGAAGAATGTTCATGCAAACCCACACTGTCCCTTTTATAACAGCTCATCAACATCAACTTTAGAAATGTATAGTAAATATAGTCAAAAGAGAAATAATGCCCATCAGGAAAATTTAGTGTGTCTCTATTTTTGCTATTTTCAAGGTAAACATTTTACTGCAAAATTTACCCTATGCAAATATTTCATCTTTCATTCAAATACATTGTACAAGGCCATTTAAAGTTAAAATGGGATACAGCAAAGATTTAACTGCCCAATCCTAGGCCAAAACTACACACACAACCCCATACTAAAATAACCCTATATACAGTAAATGATGTGTCTGTAGGACAGATCGATAATCTACAATATATGAACTATATGTAAAAGATAAAACTTAGACCAAGATGAACCCAGTCCAGTGGGGGCATCCAACTGTAAAATAGTTAAATAGATGGTCAATATGCAAGAATGAATTGTAAATCAAAAAGACAGCAACCTGACAATAAGACATACTATACACTAATACAGCTCCGGGGTACAATAAGTATAGAAACAAATCAATAGTGCTGACAATCTATCTGAATACAAATGCAATTTTCTCAGCATAAAAATTCGTAAGGGTTCCGCGGAACCCAGTGTCTCGCCTACTTATTCTGTTAATCGCAGGCTCAACAAAAATGAGGAAGTAAATCAATAAAAATATTCCTCTTGATACTATCTTTTGATTGTAAGAAGCTTCTGTCCAAGTTTGGTAAAATTCCAGGATAGTTTATGAATCTAATAAATGTTTAAAAACTTTAACTGCAGACTGAATGTAATGTTAACTGGAAGAAAACAAAATTTCCTTCTAGGTACTAGCATTTGATCATAAACAAGCTTCTGTCCAAGTTTGGTACAAATCCAAAATAGTATAAGAAAGTTATTAAAATTTTAAAAACTTTAACCACAGAGTGAATATGTTGTTTCCTGGCAGAAAATCTAAGTCCATTTAAAAGTAAAATACGGAAAAAATAGATTTATTTTTTTACAAAATTTCCTTTTAGATACTAGCTTTTGATCATAAACAAGTTTCTGTCCAATTATGGTACAAACCCAGGATAGTTTAAGAAAGTTATTAAAATTTTAAAAACTTTAACCACAGAGTGAATGTAATATTTACCGGCAGAAAAACTAAGTCCATTTATAAGTAAAATAAGGAAAAAATGGAATTTTATTTTTACAAAATTTACTTCTGGATACTATCTTATGATCATAAACAAGCTTCTGTCCAAGTTTGGTAGAAATCCAGGATAGTTTAAGAAAGTTATAAAAATTTCAAAAACTTTAACCACAGAGTGAATATTTGTGGACGCCGATGGAATGTAGGATCGCTATGTCTCGCTTTTTCGACTAAAGTCGAAGGCTCGACAAAAATAGCAAAATTGTTTGTTGGATTATTTAAGGCTGTTATAGATCTTATTATGCATGGCAGAATTGCTGACTATTGTTATGAAGAAAAAATATATTGAATCTATGTGAGAAGTTCTATTGTTCCTATCACAAAACCAGGCTAATAAAACAAATTCTTTTCAATATCCTGCTGACTGAATACAACAAGAATGTCTTGATATAGATTTAACATATATCAACCCAGTTTTACAAATTAATCACTACTTTCCTATATAAGAAAGCTTAATAAACCGCACTATAAAAAACTAAAATAAACAATTGATCGATAGTTAAATCTAGGCAGATCAAAGCTAAAAGTATCTAGAAGTAAACAATTTTTTTTTATATAAATATGTAATAAAAATTCCCAAATTTTACAAATTATATTATTTGTTTATTTTTTACCCTGAAGTCACTCAATACTAAGCAGTTGTTCAATATATTGAATTTGATACAAAAAATATATAGATTGCATTGTTTCAAGCAATAACCTATATCAACAGTTGCAAATGGAAAACCAGAAACGTTTATTCAATTGCCTCAGCCTTCTGGGAAAACTGCTTCCTATTTTCATTTAAAGGTAATCAATTCATATTAAGATAATTCAAAGTTAATTGATTTAAATATAAAAGTCATTAGTTTAAACTATAGAATTTTATTTGATGAAGAATATAAACCTCTACGTGAAAGTTATATCAATAGAACTTCATGTTTGGAAAACGGTAAAAATTCATTTAATTCGTTGAAAAGGAAACAATATATTGGTAGTGACACAATCTATTTCAAAGGATTACTTCAGAATCCCTTGCGATTTGTTGACAGTAGTTATCTAAAAATGAGATTATTTGATAGTTAAGACTGGTAGGAACGGTTTGGGTTTTGCTTCAGTTCACATTACCGTAAACTCTAATCAACATTGATCATGGATATTTACTCAAACATCATCCATTCTGATTTAATTAATTATTGGGTCCCCCTACCACTTGCATGACTGAATGAAAGTATTTTTTCCGTGCCTGAAAAAAAAACACCAGGTAAGAAGTTTAGCGTTTGATGTAGATAGGCTTTAATGAGATATTGGAGGAATCAATGTTATAATCAAATGTAGTTTTATATACAAGAAAGATTGGATGTGATTAGCTTGGTGAGTATGATTACTCGTATTGATTTTTCATTTTCAAATATTATTGAATTATACAGGTCACTATATATACATCTCTAAACTTGTTTGATGGTAATGACTTTAATTGATATAGCCACTGAAAACATTTTAGTAGGTGTTTTGTATATACTAAGTGCACAGAATCTGTTTCTGCTGTTTACCATTTCTAGTATTTGTTAAGTACGGGTACTTTAGATCGTGCCTCTTTGATAAAGTTAGAAAAGACTTTACAAACGTCATACTTTTACTTTTTTATTATATATATTTATTCGTTCTAACTTTTATAATAACATTTTAGGTATTCTTTAAACAAATTACAAGTTTGATTAAATATACTGTAGATTTGTCATTATTCAAAGGGTAATAACCTTTGTGGATTTCTTTGATATACTGCACAGTGAATTCATTTATTTTCGTGGGTACCAATTAATTTTCATGGATTGAGGGAAAAATGTACGTTCTAGGATATCTGATTTCCTGGTTTTGCCACAGCCTGCATACAAGTTCATGCTAAATTTGTTCTTCGATGAACATTTAATTCATAGTTCACCTATACCCATGAACTCCACAATATTGGTATTGGTACAAATAATAATGAATCCACAGTAGGTGAACTGTCAACATATATTTGTTCCGCCTAATAGAAGTTCCCCTGGAACCTTTGTTATAAACAATGCCATATAGTATCTGTTCCAGTTGGAACAAATATTATATACCCTTTATTCCCATAAATAGGTGGGTCATCAAACTACATATTTTAAAATGTTCCCGCTAAATAAAAATTTCTTTATAGGCTTGTATGCAGAATGTCAAAACCACAAAATCAAGTATCCACTAATATCCATTTATCCTCAACCCATGAAAATTGGTAACCAGGAATATAAATAAGTCCACTGTAATGAAATAGAAGTTTCTAAATATAAAATAGATATAAGACAACATGAGGCTTATTTCATTTGGTCCCTTTCCTCTAATATTTACCATTTCCCAAGGCAGACAAACTGAGTATCTACATTTATATTTTTTTCCCCTAAATCTATAATAATGTAGTTAATGTATACCATGAAATTTTTGAATAATTAGATGCAGTTTCATGTATCTATAGATCCCTGATGTAAATTGATTGATTGATTGATTGGTGTTTAATGTCACTTCCAGCACTATTGCTCTTTTTTGAGGCGAACAATTTTTATTGGTGGAGGAAGCCGGAGTGCCAGAAGAGAACCACCAACCTTCGGTAGGAAAACTAACAATCCTAGTCAATTAAGATTGGAGTCGAGCGCACCTGCCATGTGCCTCACAACCTTAGTTTTGAAAGGCTAGTGAAACAGTAGTTCGACTTCTTAGACCACTCGGTCACTGAGGCCCCCTTTGTAAATTGAAAAAAATATTTTCTTTATAGTCAAATTTTCATCAAATTCCAAAATATGAAACACTGCTGACAATAGTTGACAATAGTAACAGTACTTTTAGCAAAATTTAAACATCAGGCATTCTTCAAATAGAAAGCATTTTAAATTAAAAGATCTTAACAGTTAAGATTAACACTAGCTAGAAAATTGTCAATATAGTGTAACTCATTACCTAGAAAGTGACATTTTACCTAATGAGCTAATTATACGCAATTAAGAGAAAAAAAATATCTCTAAGAATCACATCTTATATAATATCGCTCCCAAATCAATCGATCGATTGGATAAGCTGCCAAACTTCTTATCCTAGTATATTTATGTTGTTTATCCCTGTAATAATGAGATAATTATGTATGATTTCTGCCAAGTATAAATCAATTAAATAATAATAAAGTAATATAGATAAGGTACTCTGAGGGGTTGCCTTATCTTAGGAGAAGGATACAGTAGATCAGTGGCGTAATTATTGCAATGAGAGAAAACATCTGTAAGTCTCTGCACCATACAGGTGTAAAGTACATTAGGAATTTTGTACAAGGTTATTGTTGTTTGTATCATACAAAAACCTACCTTACTCTTTATAATACAGAAGTGTTTGAAATGGATTCATTAAAAACATAATTAAATAAGGTAAGGTCATGTTCAGGTTCAGATTATAAAGTTCTAAGTTTTTATTAATATTGCAGGCAATTATTGATGCAATTAACCTTTTTGAAACTTTTTTTACAACTGGCAATTTATTCTCCATTTGCTTTTATATATTTCAAGACTTTCTAGCAGGATATTACTGCTTCCATTTGATATACAACTGTAATTACTTCATTTTACCATTTTATGCAATTGTTGGTGGAAAATGCAAATTTCTTATTGGGTTTTCAAATATATCCATGCCCAACAGCTCTTCTTAATAAGTTAAATCTAATGCTTGTGTAGAGAGAGTGCCATTATCTCTACATGTTGAAGAACTCTTACATAACTCTTTGAGGGGTCCACAGGTGACATGTTGCCCTGTAAAATATCCCCTGTCCAATATATCATTGTTTTCTAGTGGCAGTCCAAATTTCCTGCTTTCTATCCCTTTCTTCCAATCTTACAGAACCTACCTATCATATCAATTGTTAATAATGTCTCATGCTTAATTTGCATGAAATAGTTGCCACTGAACATAGAGAATGTTCATTAAATTGTAGTCTTTGAATATTCAATTTGTAAGTCAACATAAATATGATTTGATCTATTATTTATGTGACATACTTGTTCTTCTCATGCTACAAGCATAATTGATGTACAATTGAATGCTCTAATTTCTTCACACTATTGGTTAACACATATCACTTTACAACTCAGTTGGTATCAAATAGTCATGAATATGTTTTATTTTGGAAGTCATATTAAAAATTCCATCTAATTCATTAGGGTAAGTGCAACTTCTCCAAGTCCAATCTATATGAGTTAGTTATCTATTCTATACCATGGGTTGTTAAAATTTTTGCATATGGGAACTTTAATGATATTACATGTTACATGTGTCAATGTATATTTGTTCCACCTAACAGAAGTTTCTCTGGAAACTTTGTTATAAACAAATGTCATATTATCTGTTCTTGTTAGAACAAATATTCTATACCCTTTATTCAGTTAGGAAAAAATACTGTAATACTTGTGTTAGTGGAAATAATATTACAGAATATTTCTTCCACATGGAACTTATATTATGAAGGATCTTCTATTCCCTGACAACTGTGGTAGTTTTCTCTACAGATACATGGATTATTCAGGTTTAAATACAGTATAGCTACATTTTTTTATCCCTTTGATTTTGGACAAAAGTTGGACCAACATCCGAGTACACAGTTATCGTCCTTTGATTTTCGTTGTCCACGAATATAGTCCCTAGTGTGGACAGTGTGTTACTTGCCAATTTTTTTTATACCCCTTCCAAATTTATTTCTCCATGTTTTATGACTCAAATAGCAAGAAGGGGGGTGAAATGACACTGTAAAAAAATTTGGGTCATGAATTTTAAAGTAAAGTAGTGATTTGGTCCAGCTGAAAAATGTTAAAAATTAGCACTTCGGAAGCTGTCAAAAGATTTGAAGACCCCCTTAACATAAAATTGTCCATATTTTGACTTAGAGCCAATGAAGTTTCTATAATTTTGATATAATTTGTCCCAAAAGTAGTACAACACACTGTAAAAATATTATTGAGAAAGCGCAGGTGGGATTTTTTTAATTTTCATTTATTGTCTAAAAGAAATGCACTACGAAATAACTGTGTACTCGGACCATCCCTGAACAAACCAAGAACTAATTTCATCAACCTTTGAGTTTTTTGTAGAGCAAATTACACACTAAAAAGAATACTTTAGCTCACAACAGTGTTTTAAGTTTTCAATGGTTCCATTTGTCTATATAAAACAACAAGTCCCTTGCAGCTTGCATTTTTTTCTCTGGTACTTCAGGAAATATATGAATACATAATTGATTACTTTTGATGAAATTGTTTTATTTCTCATACACCACTATAATTTTGATTATTTCTTATCTAATTGTTATCAATTTAGTGCCACTAGAAGCAGAATCATCACAAATTTATTTGTTTATTCTGGTAAATATCTTATTGTAAAGTGTTTTCATTTTCTGATTATGTAATAAACACAAGTATTATAGTTTTTTTTCTCTAGATTTGCTATATTTTAACAAAAAATAAACTCATAAATAATCATGTGTGTTTACATCAGGAGAAACTAAAAACAACTGAAAACAAAATGATCACATAATAAACAAATAAATTTTAGATAATTTTGTGTCTTTTCAACACTTTGTTAATCAAAGAATTCATTCACAAATCCCTTCAAAATATCTTTATGTGTTATATGAAATATGAAGCAAAAATTATAGTTGATGGATAAAATGTGATGAGCTGATTTTTTTAAGGCGGTAATCTTAGACTTGTTGAGAAGTTTGGGAGTTTTGTCAAAGACCTTAGAGTGATTTCCAATGTGCCAGTCACCATATTTCACACTGATCCATAAAAAATGTTTTTCTTTACACATAGGGATTTATCAACCATATCATATCATGGCTGGGGAGGGAACTGTGAGGCAGATATTAACAAGAATTATGTGTCCATAGAACATCACATTTTTTCGATATTCCTTGTTTCGGGCGCCATGAAATCTCGGTCAAATCCCTAATTTGGTATATTTTTCAAAATTTCACATCATTATGACATTCTGTTCTAAGTTTCAATTTGATGTGACCTTAACTACCTTAAACCAAAACTTTTAACCTGATAAAGAATGAACGAATGGACAGACGGGGAAAACACAGTGTCCCCTTACTATTATAGACTGGACATATAAAGTAATTATCCAAACTAAAGTTTTTACAGGATTTTCAAATAACAAGCTTCTAGTACTTGACATGTTGCAGAAGTACAAAACGTTTCGTGCGTACTAACATTGGTTCAGGTGAACTTAGTACAAAAATTTTCAATACCCATTGTTAAGGGGATTGTGCTATATAATTAAATATTTCTATATTAGTACAAGTCCAATTTGATCATGTAAATTCTGTAAATCATTCACCGATCCTGAGTCTCAGGCTGTATTCCCAGGTTACAATTATCTTACTCCATCCTTGCGTCATTCAGTTAATTACATGACACTAATGTGTATGTGTAAGGGTTCTAAGTAGTTAAAGACAATCTCTATGTAAATCTACAGAATATCAGATGTGACAGTACTAACTAGACGTTAGATTCATTCTAAATTAGTTTTATGAAACAAACATTATCTCATAGCAAGAAAGACCAATTCTTGTCAACTATAATTTGTCACACGGCAAAATGTCTCATCATGACACACTTCCAGTGTTTAACTATATATTGATTAGAAAAAAAATATGATAAAATAAATTCAAATAAACAAGTTTGTTGGATGGAGGAAATAACTTTGTCCTTGAAAGAAATTTAAAAAAAAACTGTATTAAAAAATTCTTGGTTGGACAAAAGTTATCAACACGTAGCAATTCTTGCTGAATATTTGAACAGTCTAATAGTTTAATATGAATATTATACCAGCTTTTTCTTGCTAGCTAATAGTAATACAAAAAGACCAAATATGATATCTCTGTCGAATATAAATCACTGGTCTATCAGATGGCTTTTTTACAAGAACTACTCCCTTGCCAGTAACAATTTGAACAACCACCAACCTTGCTGCTTGCTTTCAAAGCCATATGTACCAATATTCAAGGTGACTATCAGCTATGGTTGTTATAAAAAAGCATATTTTAAATTAAGATCATCTAGCTTGAAAGCAAATCCTGGTTACTGATGAGTAGCAGCATCAATTATACTGTATAAAATAAGAAGATGAGGCCTAATTGCCAATGAGAAATATATCCACCAAAGTTCAAATGATGTAGATATAAGCAAATATAGGTCTTTTGTATGGCCTTATACAATGAGCAAAACCCATACTGTATTTTCTTCCACTCAATGTCTGGTTTATCCATTTGTATTATTTTTAATCAGTTGTTAGAGTTTACTGGTTTTCAAAGTGAAATTTGATCAAAATGGTTAATAAAATCTATTTCATAATTGAAATACACTGTATGTAATAAAATCATAATCAGTCAGAAATCTAAACATTTCATTTATTTATACATCTACTAGCAGTTTCTTTTGAAATGTATGAGCAAGTGTATTTTGAAATGCTATTTTTGGCGTGTTTGATGTTTATAAAACAACAATAAAGTAAACAAATGACTTCATTAATGCATTTGATTTAGTTACAGCTAACATTTTGCAAAGAGATTTATTTCATAATCAAAAGGGATGTTATCTGTAATAAACATGTAAGACCAATATTTCTGCTGCAATTCATAATAAAATGACTTTCAATGGACTCAGTACTTGATAAATTAGATGACATTTGTGTCTCTATTACGGGCTAGTGTATATCAAAATTCAGAAAGTTTTCTGATAACAAAATAATACATCAACTGCTATTATATCGAAAGTTTGAGTGATTAATTCAGATTGTTTTTTGCTTACTACAATTTCTAGTCTTGAATGGTTTTGAGTGAAACATGTACAGAAAAGGCACATAATTTTACGTCTGTATTTTATGCCTGTAATATATATATATTTCTTTTTTGATTATAGTTCTTAGCATAAATCAGGCCAATGGTTTTCGTTTTGAAATTTTTCACAATTTATCATGCTATACAGTATGGGTTTTGCTCATTGTTGAAGGCTGTGTGATGACCTATAGTTGTTTACATCCTTGGTCAAAGGCCCTTTACAATCTTCAAGATTAGCCACAGGCCCAGCAGCACAGGCTTGTAATATTGCTCTAAGGCCTGAAAAAATCATCTCTACAGGTCAACAGAATCTAACTAAAATTTTCTAAAATTGAGCTCCGGGGCTGTAGATTTAAAAGTTTATCATGAAGACTGCCTTTAGTCTCTGGTGGATAGTTGCATACAGCATCTCCTTTTTATATATATATTAAGGGCTATAAGTACATAAATGAGTTCTACCGATAGTAAATCATAGTGGGGACCACCTAGAAATTGTTTAAGCAATGTACAAGATTAATCCTATTCTGAAGCCTCGTC